TCAATAAAGTAGGAAAGAAACCATGACGAAGATTAATGAAGGGATTATAAAAGAGTGCGTGCACTAGAGAACAAGAAGTAATTAGTAGCAGAAGTACTACTTGTAGTAGTAGTAAGAAGTGTGCTTGTAATATTTTAGTAAGTAAAATCTTAAGTTTAAACAAGAATAATTTTTTTGTTGCTACACTCAAAGAAAACATAATTCACAAAATAATTTACAATATTTTAATTATTCATTTTTGTTGTCTTTATCTTCGTATTTAATTTATTGTAAATTAAAACCGAATTAATTACCAATTCCACAATATGTTTTTCAAGTTTTAATAATTTCAAAAATGCAAACTTCCCTTTCCCATTTGTTATACAAAAAAAAAAAAAAATTTACATTAAATTACCCGAGAGGAAAATTTTTCTAATTATTTTTTTTTATGAAATATTTATTAGCTTTAAAAAAAATAGCCACCTGCGTTATTTGTTGCTCATCGTATCGCAATGATGGTTTACCATTTATTCCTGAAAGAATTTTTCAAGTAATTTTCTTCTTATTTTCGGTGTGTATGTCATAAACATGATCAGAATAATAACGATAATATACAATAATTTCTATCTCTTTTACACTTTGATATTTCTTAAAGAAATATTGTTAAAGATTATCCTAAAACTGCTCATATTCTTTATTTCAGAAACTATAAATTTGATTCCTTTCTTTCTCCTAAATTCTTATAATATGGCGTAAAATCCTTTTATTCTAAAATATGTAAGGATATTTAAAAAATAAAACTATATAGCTCATTTTGCACATACAATTTTTATCACAAGAAAAAAAATAATTTAAATTTATTCAACTTTTAGAAAAATAAGAGCGGATGGAATAAAATCAAAAAACACTTAAGTTTCATCTTAGATATTCGAAAGATAATCATCGATTATATTAAAAGAAAAATGAAAAAAGAATAAACTTTAATAAAAGTTAAACATTTCTTAACACCATTCTTACACACCCCGACATTTTTATACATACAGAGATAAAATGGCATGTAATATTGTAGGTATAACACAAATTTACATACAAAATATATACAGACTTTTCTTCATTAATATAACAATATGACAATCACCACTTTTTCCTTTTCCCAAGGAAATTATCCAAAACGTTTAAGAAATTTTAAGCTCATGTTCGAACAAAAAAAATATTTTATCGCCCTCAGATGCTTGTTTTTTTCTCTTTTTATTTAAAAATTGTGGAAATTGTGAAAAAATTCCGAAATTTTTCTTTGAAAAAAAAATCTATTGTCAGAAAATGCTCAGTTAGTTATTAAAATACATAAAATTATAATCATGTTTGTATGTGAAAAAATTGAGTGGATTTTCTAAGAAAAATTCAATATTAAAGAATAAAGTAAGCGTTCATATCATAAAATTTGACAAGTAATATTAGAATTGGCTTAAACTGAACAAAACTTTGTTTAAATTTTATTTTATAAAGAATACTAAATTATGTTGATTGGTACGTTCGCTGCGTAATTTTAGTTGATACACAACTGAACATTGAATTGGCTCAAAGTATTGATTTCACCACATGCTATGTAACTTATTTTTGAAACTTGGGCTAGAATAAAGAAAAGCCACCAAATATAACAGTTATTAAATGCTCAAACATATATGTACATATAGAACAGTTTCTGTACAGTAAAAAAATTTTCCGAAGTAAAAATTATTTTTAAATGAAATAAAATAAAAGCTGAGTAAACAAATCTGTTTTTCCGGTCGCGTCTCACGTCGTTCCGATTTCTGTTCTGTTGTTTGTATACTCTAATGCATTCTTAAGTCCTACTTTTCAGATAGGATGCCATGATTCATTTAGGTCTAGTGCAGAACTCGATAAATGACCTGCAATCCCGGACAATTCTAAAAATAGACAATTCCGTTTTCAATACTGTTACACATAGTACCATATTGAACCAGTCATTGAAAAATCTCGTTTATTGTGGCTAGATCCGCCTAAAAGTGCATCATTCCTCCAAACTTATATTATTCAAGTTTTTCTATTCGTGTAGAAGTGGATAGAACCGTCCCATGTATTAGCTATTATCCATATTGGCGAAGTGTCAAAGTTTTTCGTGAATAAACACACAGGACAGACATAGTCAACTCTCTGCCCCACATGTCAGTTAGTTTCTAGTATGACCGGATGCTTCACAAAGCCGTGTAATTACTGCGATGCAACCTTCAGACGCACAGCCGACCCTGCAGCAATTTGCTTCTCCTTAGTATCATTTGGATGAACGTGGAATAACCTCTTAAGGGCTTCTCAGGAAATGATCACAATACTCCCTCACATGCACATCGATGTCATTCTTTGGACTTTACTCGAAAGTTTTAAATTAATGGATTTTCTCAGTGAAGGCCAACACACTAATATAAATATCGCAATAAAATACCAAACTATGCCTGGTACTTTGTATTTCCTAAATAAAACCGAAATAAAGCCGAATTATATAATTCTGAGTGTAATATTATAATTCATATCCGTTAAATAAATATTTTTTATAAATATTCATAAATTAGATTAATTAGGAAGATTAATTTAGATAACATCAATGAAATTAAATGAAATTTTCCGTTAATATCATAAAAAATGCGATAAATGGCTAGAATCCTTTACAAAATTTTGTTTTACATGTTGATAACTAGAATATAAATTAAATTGAAATAAATGTGTTAAAAATAATTTTTCTACAGTAAATTCATAAATTAAATTGATATTTTAAAGCACCATAACCCGCAGTATTCATTAAATTTTAAGAGGATTATTATAATCAGTGGTAAAGTATGATCTAATAATAAAATGAACCAATGAAATGCTACATAAATCAAGTTACGTAATATGCACAGTAAAATCCTTAACACTGCAATATAGGATAACATTGTTTGTTGTAAAAATGGAGTTTTTTATAATGAAAGAATTGTAATAAAATTGTTAGAAGGAAAGTGTAAAGCCCACACATTGCAAATAGAAAACTTTTCATTCTCTTAAGAACTAAATTTTCTGAAAATATTAATATTTAAAACTAATTTTCTTTGTTCTTCATTGCTACTTAAGGCAGCAGACATTTAGTTTAATTGCACGTCATTGAACTGAAAGCACTGAGTCAAAATTAATCTACCCGCACGAGTACTTTTTATTACAACTCGCATACAAAATAAAGATTTATTCGGTTTCTAAAATTTTTTTTATAAATTATTCATTACCCATTAAAGTACATAACTATTTTAATAATGTTAATAAATTTGGAGAATGTTTTAAAAACTAAAAAAAAAAAAAAACAGCAGTTTTGAATATGTTTTACATGAATTTCGATCCTATAATTTTCTTTATACCCTACGCAACTTATTGAAGGTTATAGAGTTTGTTACCACGCAAAAAATTGCCTTCAATATGAGCATATCTTCTTGGTGGGCGTAAAATTCTGCTTTGATTTAAACATGTTCACTTGTTCGTGTGCGTCTATTCGTCAATCCGGTTACATGATAAAGCCGAAAAGCAAGAGTCAAACACTACCAAAAATTAAAAATTGCTGAATTTCCTTGAATAACCAGAAAGCCAAAAAAATTTGAATCGGGCGTCTCATTAGGCTGCCATACAAATATTAGAGTCTCGAAAATTTTGTAATCAGGTTGTCACAGTTTAGGGTGTAATTCAGTTCAAAAACTTCGGTTACTAAAATATTTTTAGTTATTCAGAGATGAATATTCGATTTTTATGATTTAGAAAGAAAATATTTCAAATTAAAATAAATATGGATAAAGCAAATTAAAAAAAATACGTTAAAAATTATTCTAATATTTCAATATTTAATTAAATTCTAAAATTTTTATTTCTGTTAATAAAGAAATAAGTTTGGTTTTAGTTCCAGTTGGATTTTCTAAATTTTTATTGAAATATTATTGAAATATTATAAGGAAATCTTGTCATAGCATTCAAACTTGTAGAAACTACGATAAACTTATTACTCATCCGAACTTTAACATTTTGTTTTTCAATTCTTGACACATGTAGTAGTAATGAATTCCATTAGTTTACACAATAAGGTTTACATTCGTTTTTACATGAATCTACAAGAGGAATCTTAATTCATGCGAGTAAAACTTATGGTGTATTAAAAATCTATACGTGGAAAATTTAGTTCACCCGCAGAAAAATATTTTTTTCAATTCAAAATCAATTAATAATACTTATCGTTGGATATCGTACAACATTTCATACAATTCGAATGAAGAAAAGAATTCAATATCCTTGAATTCATTTCCTCATCCTTAAAGAGATTCAATTTATTGCGTCAATTTAATTGAATTGTAAAAGAAACTGCGAAGAATTCCCATCTGATATTAGATTCAATTTAAATATTATTATTTTACAATACAATAAGATTTTTAAAATGTTGGCCATGAGCTATCATAAATAAATTAAAATTTGTAATAAAATTGAAATGAGTAACAGTATTAAACCAGGAAGTATTCGCATTATTTAAAAATTTAAAAAAATATTTAAATTTTTTGAACATTCAATGGAATTTGATTGATTGGAGGCTAATTTAGTACAATTTTACTGAAAATTATAAAGCATTTAGAGTTCTAAATTGATTGAATTGTTCTATAAATTCACAACGTTTGATGGCAGCAAAAGGATAAAATCAATTGGGATGAAAACATGTAACAAGTTTGAACATAACATTAAAATTTTAAAATGAAAGTTTAAATTGACATCATCCTTCCGTGTAAAATTTACGATTTACAACATCCGTAAGGTTATCGAAATTAAATTAATAATAATGTTTTTAACTCAAAATTTTCATCATACATTCTATAAGACTCGTTCCTTTACTTCATAACAATAATATCAAATTATAACTCTAAAAAGGATTTTAAAGTAAATTTATTATATTTGTTTGTATAACTCTAATGGCAAAAAAGACGAACAAAAGGATTTTAAGTACTTACCATCAATAAATTCAGATATGCTCGTATATAATCGTATCTTTGAAAGCTGCAATAAATTTAATCCATATACAATTAATGGCAAGTTAATGTTGTACGATTACTCGTATAATTTAAAAATTCTTGTCTTGCCCCAAAAAATTTATTGTTTAATGCACACACTTCTATTTTAATTTAATTTGGCAATTATTTACGATCTCTCTTAGTAATTATTTAATTTTTAATTTTGTTATTATTCTTTTTATTGGCTTTTGTTTCTGGGGCACAAATTTTTATTTAAAATTTTTAAACTTCCTGTTAGAAAATAAAAAATTTTTTTAATTATTTAATTTAATTTTGTTGTTTAAATCTTGGGTATAAATGTTTAACAAAAAAATAATTATTTACAATTTTAAACAAATTTAAAATAAATTGATAATTTTTTAATAAAAAACGTCTAAATACTACTAAAAATAACAGGAAAAATCGAAACCCTTCAGTTATACATTTTATGGCAAAAGGTTATTAAAATGCAACCTGATGTAAAATCGAAAGTTAAATAAGAAAAAATTTTAAATTTACTATAAAAATACTACAGACATCTCAAAATGTAATTGTTCACAATTTAAATTTGCAATTCAGTTTTTGAACAACTACTTTTAGGGGTGCAACACAAGTTGTATAAGGTATGAAAATCAACAATTATAAAGATGTTTAAATTATTTGAGATGATAATAATTAGATAGATTAGGTCTATAATTTAAAAATTTAATATTTATTTAGGATTTTTTTCTTGTCTTAATGAAAAAAATATTTTCTTGGATCTATAAACAGAAAAAAATTCTATAATCAAAGGCTTATATCAACATTTATTTTGTAACTTTACTTTTCTAGTTAAACAAAATAATTTAATTTTGCCCTTCATCAAACCATGTTTTCTTTACTTAGTTTTAAATATAGAACTTTCTATTACCTTACTTTCTGTTTCACATCACATAATTTGTTAATAACTAGGAATAAATTAGTTTTAACTTCGTATGCCAGATTTTTTCTTTTTCACTATTGGTTAAAATCAAAGGACAGAAGGATATTAAGATTTGTTTATAATTTATACTTTTATACTTGATTTCAAATACATAAATTTCATGTATCTAACATCTATGAGTCATAGAATAAAACCAATACCAAAAAGATGCTGTCCAGGAGTGTAGAAAACAAATTTCTATCAAATCATTGATTTGTAAAGTAGAAAATATCCGATAAACAATTTTTTTGTTTTATATCACATAATTGCATATTTTTAGGGACAGTACCTATTTTCAAAATTATACAATATAACATTGATTTTCACTTCTACCGGTAATATTGTAGTAGAATACGGTTATTTTGAAACGATTTGTTGATTGAAAGAATATAACAAAAAATATCACTTTTAAAATATTGAGACTAGTGAAAAGTTCTCTTTGTGAGAAATAAATTTGTGATGCCAAGATCTCGACTTTTACAAAATTTTAGATACACAGTTGGACGACCGAACGAACGAAAAAGACGGATTAAAATTGATAAAATGTTCTATAGGAAAAGTGCTAAAAATAATTTAAGTGTATAGCAATTACAATTTTCTCCCATAAGTTAATATTGAATTTTAATCCTGATCAATTCATTTGTTCTGTTTTTGAATCGTCTTCAAAAAATTACAAATAATACTAGTATGTTTTAGCATATTGTTCATAGTTACAACAATTTAAAAAGAAATCTCATATAAATAAATTATTTTAAACCATCATTATGCCTAAAAATATTAAAATTCCTTAAAATTTTCTTGTTATTAATGATATCAAATAAATTAAATTTCAAAAATATTTTCTTAGTGATAATAAAATTTATTCATAAACATTCATCGTCCCCTTATCAAAAGTTACAACTATATCGAAATTAAACTTTATATTTATGTATGTACGATGGATATATACATAGGTACTTAATAAACAAATTTTATCTAAAAAAGGCAAAGTATAAATTTATTTATCATTTCTCTAAGGACATGTCACTACTATTCCAGATTTGATTTTGTTTATTAGATCAGCATAATATAGATTTCAGATTTATTTTGTAACCCAATTGAAAAATATTTTTGATTACAATTTTCAAATTTTTTTTTTATTTTATTTTTTAAATACAAAAAAATTTATTATTAACTTAGGATTTTTGTTTTATTCTAAAAATGAATATTGTCAAAGATTTAAAAAAAAATTGAATTTTTGTTCTTCATATTCCTTATCGGTCATAAGTCTGACCTTTTATAATTACATACAGTTAAACATACTATGTATCACATATTTTATAATGTAGGTAAATTGGGGTATTATGTAGAATTAAATAGGGATAAAATATTAACATTTTTAGTTTTATCTTTATTCACATTAATTTCTCGTTATTTAAATATGGGAAAATTTATTAATATATTGAATATTTTTCTAAATAAAATACATAATTTACAATTTAATTATTTAATACACATTTTTGGGATATTTAGCTTCGGTCTTAATAGAAAAATTTTTTTAAATACGTTTTTTCAACACTGTTTAAATTCACATTTACCACTCGCAACTGCCTTGATATTTTTTAAACAATTTTACGTTTAATAAGATTATGCCTTCATATGTGAACAAAAACTAAATTGAATTTTAAATTTCCAGTTTTGTCTTTAAGTTTTGCCTTTTACCTTACACTGGTCTTGAAATCATTCGCTTATATGCACAATGCCTTCTTCACTATTTAATAAATAATTTTAATCTTTTATATGAGCACAAAAAAATTTTTCTTCTAAAATATTCTAATTTCCTCTTTATTTCTAAAATTAATTTATTTTATTTTCACTTCCTGGCAATTTTATTATTATGCCATAATTATTACATCTATTCAATATAAAAGCACTGATCTATATTAGAGATTCTATGTGAATCCAAAAATAATTAACGAAAATTAATTTTAAATATCTTATTTTATTATATTTAAACAGTAGTATTAATAATAACCACTCTTATTCGTCACTACCGTTATCTAAATTATTTAATTTTAATTCAATTCCAATTCCAATTAAGTTCCAACAATGATAATTTATTTTTTATCTTTTTTAATAAAATTCAATTTTTAAAAATATTTTATACTGAAAACCGTTAATTTAGCTCTTAAGAAACCGTTATGTTATAACAGGTGTCGACCATAAAATGCAAAATGTAGTTATCGACTAACTTAATAAAAACTAAGAAAACAAATTGAAATTAATAATTTAACGAAAGAGAAAAAATATTTTTATGTAATACTCAATACATTCAAACTATACGAATGGCGAGGAAAGAGCGAGAATACATTAAAAGAGTAAATTTTTAAATACAATATACAAAAATCGAAATAAATTTAGAGAATAAAAGCTTTTTATATTGTAGAAGAAAAGATAATTTCTTTGGTAAATGGGATGAAATGTTTACTGTTAGCTAGCTCGTTAAATCAAAATTACGTATGTGTATTTGTTAAATGCATGTAGGAGAATACTTTAAAAACAGTATTTGTTCTGTCGTTCACATTCATTATATAATGCAATTTGTTGCGTTCCTTTAGTTTCGTTCACATTGAATAAACAATCACGTGCTCAGCAATATTTACAAGTATTTGTGTGTGTATTTCCTTTTTTTAGCAATTTTGTTTTTATCATTTTGTTTACTAACATTTTTTATTTATTTTTAAATTTTTTTCGTTTATTTATTTTCTACAGGATTTTTTTACAAATTTTATTAAAATTAAAGTTCTCTATTTATTTAAACAAATAGAGGAAAAAAGCTTTTTTGAAGTTATTTTAAATATTATTACGGGTAAATAAATATAAATATAGGAATATTTTGGTAAACTAATTAAATGAGATGAAGAAAAATCATTCTGGTCAACAATAAGATAAAAAATTGTTATTATATTTTAAATTTGAAACTAAAAGTGTATTAATTTTATCCCGTTAACACTACTTTATTTAAAAATAGTGTTTCTGATTTCCAAATAATTATTAAAATATTAAAGACTTCTCTGTGTGTATCTTATGTTAATTTATTATTAGAGATTTCCCAATATCTCAAAAATTTCCATTTAGTATTCGTTATAACACCAACACACATTATATACGAAATTTTATTAATAAAATTACATACAATAGACACATATGTAATATGTTATGTATATCCTTGTTTGTAACATTATGTAAAGAAAGTAAAAAGGATATTTAGAAATTCTTTAAAATTTATTCATTTTTTTAAAATATATCTACTCCATACTTTATTTTGCTGTGTGTTATCATAGCAAATTTTCCAAATATAATATAAAGACATGAATTTTATGCAAGGATATAAAATATATATAGGTACATGTATATGCTATAGTATTTTTTTTAGAAATATTATGTGAGCTTAAAGGCATAATCAAATATTTGCTTAAGAAAATAAAATTATTGATCAAAGTTTTTATTGTTGTACAATTTGTGATAGTTGAATGTATAATGAATTCAACATATGGTCACGAAGAGATGAGAAAATTAAATTTTTTTTAATCTATTTAAATTTGGTATTAAATAGGTATTGATGGTTTGTATGTGAAAATTGATAGTGAAAATTCTAAATTTAATCAAATTGAAATATTTTAATTTAATTTCCAATAGAAATTTAAAAGCTTAATAGAGAATGTATGGAAAAATTCAGGAATGTGGGGAAATAAACGGATTAATTTGTGGAAAATCTAGGAATATTTACATGATTACTGTGTTCAGTTCGAGCCATGTATGTATGTCCAAACAATTGCTTGATGAGATTCCAAACTTTGATTAAATTTTATTTGAATTAAACAAATTCGATGAACAATGTTTAATGGGTAATCCGAGATTAAGATTAAAGACTGTCTAATATCAAAAGTTTTAAATTGGTGTAAATTGAAGTGTATAGAGCAACTATTTAGGTTAGGTTGAGTTGGGTGTTTGTGGCTCCCCGAAGAGCATACTTAGGATATTTAGGTCCATTTTGATGCCGCCGCATCTCTCCCTCTCACTTTCCTCAGAACTGTGTACCACGTCACGCAAGCTCGTCCGCTATAACAACAGTTTTCGAGGACTCCGATCAAGTTTAATTCGAACCGCTCCGCCATCTCTTCGAGAGGCGACTTACAATCTAGGAATGTTCTAGACGTGGAGCATGAGTCCAAAATCATTGCAAGGGTATTGATCACGACCTTGTTGCCTGTGAAGATACTATCACTACCTTCAGATATCCCATCATCGTCAAGCCAGAGCAGAGTCTCCTCAATCACAACCATCTCCACCTGGAAGACAATGCAGTTATCCTGCAACGCGAAGGAGAGCTGAACATTCAACTTCTCAAAGTAATCTCCTCCACCCACCTTTCCATCAAGTTTGTAAAAATGGATGAATCCCCTCCGACAACATCTTTGCAACGCCATGTTTACCTTGACAAGATCGAAGTTCCAAAATTCTTCACGAATGAAAGTACAAGAGGACCAAAATCATTTAGCCCCCACCTCGTGTCCCCAGTCCGCAAAAATAGAACCATAACCCATGGTTGCACACAACCACTATGATGCGGCTCCTAAACGTACTGCGAAATCCGCAGCCTTCTACCGACCCAGTATATCTTCCTACAATACATACCTTTACCGTTCTTTGAATTTTACTTATCAAATTAAGATTCACAGTTGAGCGGAACGGCAACCACCACCGCAGTCCCGTTAATCCTAGAGGAAGTTTTCCGGAAGAATGACATAACTGTTCTTCACTGCTGTGTAAACTTTTGTGCTTTCTGAGGTCATCCATACAACATATCCGAATCAGATGATGCCCTGCTGAGCCTCGATCTGTAGAATTGACTTCCGCATTTTTGCCGAAGAACATTTAACTCTTCGAACCCCCTTGACAGTTTTCTTTTTCCTCATGACCGAGTTAACGGACACGGCTTCCTAGATATGCAATTTACGGTTCGGTGTGCATAAAGACCATGCAGTCGTCATAGGCCTTGAGAAAAGATTTCATTAACATTAAAATTTTTCAAGTATTAACTACATCCGTTGGGTTATGAAAATTGAAGACATAATCACACGTTGAAGTTAGCATAAAACTCAGTGCTTGAATTTGGTGCTATATAAAAACTTACCAAAAAGAATTTTTTAAAAATAAAATCGGATCTTAGTTTGAAAATCGGCGTATATATGAATATCGACAACATTAGCCGAAAACTACTTTTAAGCCCGCAAACATTTAAACAAATTTTAAATATTAATTTAAAATAAGTTATGGATAATGATTTCTAAAAAGCATAAATTAGTTTTATTTGACCTTTATTATAATAATACTTTCCATTATACTAAAGAACGTAATAAATACTGGATGCAATACATACATGTAAACTTGAATAAGATTAAATTAATGTGCTAACACTTAGATTGTAAGTCTAAATATAATCATGATAAAGTACACATTTAAGATATTCCATCAAAACGTAATATATTTTTTATGGAAATGAATTTTTTGATATAGGAAGAATAAGGACATTGTATTCTATAAGGACTAGAGTACCATATGAATTAAGACATACGCACATACATACATTATTTTTCTTCCATTTTTATTTAATTTCTTAGAAATTCTATATATTTTATTAAAGACTTATTTTATATTTTCATTTTTATGATGATCTTTTGTTATAAATTATTTCTAATATTAAAATATTCTTAAAGTTACCTTTATCCTTAATTTTTTTATTTTTATTATTATCAAGTTAAAAGAAATTAGGGATAGAGTTTCTTTTACAATAGAATTTTTAATATACGCACTTCTACTAAGGGTTCGTATGAATTTATCCACAAAAATTAAATAAAAATTTTAATGCTTAATTTTACAATAAAAAGGAATATATGCAGAAGTGTGTATTCAGTAGGGGTATGAATTAATTTTTTATATAATTTTGAATAATCGAGAGAAATAATGAATTTGAAGTATTTATTTGTGAAGTACCTAATTTCATGCCATAAATTTGTTGTACAAGATATGTCAACATGTAATTGCAACAAGTTTGTAATACAAAATGTTTGCAAAAAAAAATTGAAATTTAAGAAAACATGTAAGAATCAGAAGTGTGATAATGACAACTTCAAATTTTTTTTACACCTCGGAATAGCAATACATATTTTAACAAGTTAAACGTTTCAGTCGATATAAACCGACTAAGAACAGTCTGTCTCTAAGAGAAAATAAACAAATTTTGAAAGTTTGGTGTCGATTGCATTATTCTTTTTTGAGTTATCGTACGATCGGAAGGACGGATGGATGAACGAGTCTCTAAATAAATGCAGAATTTTCCGCTGAGCAAGAATAGATATACATGTTCATACCCAAGACGATTCCTTCAGGTAGTTACAAACTCCATACCAAAGTTAATATACCCTTCACGAAGGTGCAGCTTATAAAAAGATAGTGAAATAATAAAATTTGAATCATGCAACACAATGAACGCGGTCTATTTAAAATCAAAAGTAATTTGTTTTATAAATTAACTATCAATTCAAACAAATTTTGTCATGTAAACTTGTATAACACTTATATAATATAGTTATTATCTATTATCAATTAAGTTATATTTATTTTTTTATCATCCAACCAAATATTTCTATTCAATATTCTATTTTTAATGATTAAATCTTAATCAAAGGCCTTCTGTGATAAGGAAAGCAAACTATAGTTAAGTAATTCAAAAAATTTATTCGTTTACTTTTGGTATGTAATATAGAAATTAAAATTTTTGGAAATAATCTTTTTATCAGCGTAATTAAAATCATTTTATTTTTATTATACACCCATATACTAATATAAAATCTGATCATCCGTAAATTATTATCACAACAAGTGTGATAGCACGTAAATATTCAGTTAAGAGTATTTTCATACT